ACAGCTCCAGAACCTTCCCCACACACTATTAGACTGCAGATACCCCCACAGAAAGCGAACATTAGGCTCCATGTGTATCGCGGCCAAATGTCACTGATGGCCCAATCAAGTTAGAATTTATCTCAAAGGGGCCACTTTCCAAAAGGAAGAGGAAAAGGTCGAGAAAATCTGAGGCTTTTACTTTTAATAGGTGGCAAAGCATAGGAAAGATTTTGTTGTGCCTCTTTCTCTTCTATTTTAGCTGTTTATAAAAACTTGATTGCATGAAACTTCCAAGTTCTCTGGGACTTATTCTTGCTGTCTGGACCAGTTCTTTGGATGGTGCATTTGCCAGGTAATAACCAATCCAGCTGCCTCATGTTCTGGGCACTCAACTTTGGTGAATTCGCCAAATTTCATAAACCTTTCGGAAGAGGCCATCCATCAGGACAGGAGCAGGAATGGAGATAAGATCTGTCAGTCTCGTGCTCGCTTCAGCAGCACGTATACTAAAATTGGAATGATACAGAGAAGATTAGCATGGCCCCTGCGCTAGGATGACATGTAAATTTGAGAAGCGTTCCATATTAAAAAAAGAAAGAAAAAAAAAGATCTGTCAGTCTCTCCTCAGCCAATGCTCAGAAAGTCTCCTCTGAACCAGGAATGTCAGATCTGCTTCCACAAAAGCCTTCAAGGTTCTTGTAAACTGGCAGTGAGATTGAGACAAAAGGAAAAATGTAAATAATGCCTCATCAGACTGTAGGTCATGCTCAACGAACGAGAGGACTCTCTCAAAAGAAGAGATGCCAAAGAAGAAGAGGAGAAACAGAAATTTCCAGGGACAGACTTCAGCGAGTGACACGAAAATCATACTCTTGTTTTGGAGAAACACACGAGGCCAGGGGAGGCTAGAGCTTCCTCAGTAGAGGATGAGAAAGCAGAGGTCCAGATGAGGTAAATGACTCGCTCCAGGTTAGACAATGAGCTCATGAGAGCAGAGAGCAGAAAGGACTTCAGTTTGGTTTGGTCATGCTTCCTTGGTCTTATGGATGGCTCTCTCCCCGCGGATAGGAAGGGAAGACAGGGAAAACCCCAGAAACCCTGCCCACATCGCCCTTCAGGTCATGATGTCTGGGCTACGGGGTTTGTGTTCTCCAGAAAAGGTCTCAAAGCATATCAAATTCATATTCATATTTATATGTGAATATGAAAATAGCTTATGCTCTTACTGCAGTAGATACAGCAATATGTGCATTTTTAGGAAGATAAAACAAAGTCTCATTAACCACAATGTAATGCAGTTTCCCATTAATTAAAAATGAAAGCAGCTCATATATTTCAAGGAAATAAAGATGTTTCCAAACTACCAAGATCTAGCTAAACTGGAAGATAAACCCTAGTATCAGCCCATTGCAAATGGAAGGAGGCTTTTAGCAAGACAACCACTAGTTACACGAGACTGTGAAATTTCTGGGACATCTACTATGACCACACTATAACAGTAGCACCAAGGTAGCACAAGTCCAATATACAAGTTTCTTAAAACCAGGTTCTTGGGGCGGCTGGGTGGCTCAGTCAGTTAAGCATCTGACTTCAGCTCGGGTCATGATCTCGGGGTCCTGGATTGAACCCCGTCTGAGCAGGGTGTCTGCTTGTCCCTCTCCCCCTGCTCCTCCCCTCCACTCATGCTCTCTCTCTCAAATAAATACAATCTTAAAACAACAACAAACAAAACAAGGTTCTTACTAAATCACCAAGTTTTTTTCTTTCTTTCTTTATATTTAAAAGAACTAGTTTAAACAAGTATATTATAACAGAGACTAGCAACCAAGTTTTAAAAAATGAACATACATTCTCCCCCTCCTTCTCTTTCTCTCCCTCTCTCTCTGTGTCACACACACACATACACACACACACGTGAGCCTAGAGTTTGGACACACAAAACCATTACAAAACATGAAATATGGCTGCATTAGTAAGAGAGAGATTAACAAATTCTAAATTCATTAATCATTTTCCACCTTTCCTGCTTTAATTATTTAACTCCTAGAATAAACCACTATCACCACCAACTTTAGAGAGACACTGATCACATGCTTGGAAGTTTCTCATTCACTTCCCCCAACTCCGTTAAGTATTATTGATCCTGATCTGCAGCTGAGGAAATGGAACCCAGGGGGTAATCTGCTCGGGGTCATGCAGCAGGTGAGCACAAGAGCTAGAACTGAATCCAACTGTTCAGGCTCTTTTCACCACCCCAACAGCTCTCAAAGTATGGTCTGCAAACCCTGGTGGTCCCCAAGACTTTCAGGGATATAGGGAGTCGTAACTATTTTCGTTAAACTACAAATTTGGAAACATGTCCACCACTGTGAGACTTTTCCAATGAGATCAGTTGTTGATTATCAATACATGTGAGCTTTTGATTCTATATAAAGAAATGTGTCAACATTTGAAGGCCTGCATAGTTCATAAACCAGTATTTTCCAAATTACCGATACAGGATATTACAAAATGACGCATAGGTAAAAGATACCATTCTTCGCACACTGAAAGTATAAAATGGACTGATGGATTTTAGTGTCACAAGGTATAAAAATTTCATGGAGAGGGCTTCAGATTCCACATTGCTGCTCTCTTTTAAGAAACTACCACTTGTCAAGTTTCAGTGTAGTATGGAAATATCCACAATCATCTGAAAAAGCTATTAAAACACTTTTCCCTTTTTAAAATATGTGTCTGTGTGAGGCTGGATTTTCTTCATATACTTCAACCAAAACAACATAGCACGCCGGATTGCATGCAGAAGTAGATACGAGAATCCAGTTGTCTTCTACTAAGACAGACAATTAAAGACACTTGAGGAACTATAAAACACTCTTCTCATGAATAATTTTGCTGTGGAAAATAAATTTTTTCATAAAAACATGTAATGGGCTTACGATTATTTTTATAGGCATTTTTTTGGTTTTTTTATTGGCTCTCTCATTTTTCATTTTGAATTTTCCTTTTTCATTTCTGATAAGGTCAATGTCACTAGATACAGCCCACATGAACACAAGCTCCTCCAGGAGGCCCGCAATAATTTTAATTTAAGAGTATGAAGTGATCCTGATATCAAAACGATTGAGCACTGCCGCCCTTCATCATTTAAAATAATGATAGCAGAAAAAAATTGACCTGTACAGATAATTCTCCAAAAAATTTTAATAACTACCAAGATGTACCCTAATTCTTCTCTTTTTTTTTTTAAGATTTTATTTAGTTATTTGACAGGAAAGAGAGGGAGGCAGAGAGAGCACAGCAGGGGGAACAACAGAAGGAGAAGCAGGCTCCCCGCTGAGCCACGAACCCGATGCTGGGCTCGATCCCAGAACCCTGGGATCATGACCTGAGCTGAAAGCAGGTGCTTCACCGATTGAGCCACCCCAGAGTCCCCTAATTATTGTTCTTGATCAGAATGCGTTCAGGTGGCCCCAACCCTGTGGTCCCTCGTACAAAGAAAAGGATCCCCTGGAATAAAATGCTGTAAGGGAAGCCTTAGTTATACCTAGGTCCAAAAGCAGCCTAATCACATAAGGGGAAAGACATTAGAATAGAAACAGAGCTCTAGTTACCTTCAATGATTTCACACCAAGGCCTCGGCTGACGCTCAGGGAACGATTGTGTCTCACTAACAATAGGCAGCAAAGCAAACATGCCCCCTGATGGCTAAAATCAGGCAAGCGCTTGCTGTGAGCGGGATGAATTATACTTGACATGACAGAAAAAAAAAATGAGAAACACCTACATCTAGCTATTTATCTGTAATGTTTTAGGACATTCGTCATAGTAGGAAGACATCATGTTCCACTGAAAAGCAACTACTCATGGGGATAGATCCTCTTATTTTTCAAGTTGGTACTGAACCTTTGGTGAGCCGGTCCTGTAGCCTGGAAGAGGGCAGCCCAAAGTGAAAGGAACTGCTCAAGCGCAGACACAGTGCTCCCCTTAGAAGATGGCCATCCAGGAGCAGGCGCGAACGGAGGAGGTATTCATCCCCCCTCCCAGCTATCCTCGTAAACACAACTGCAACTACTAACAGGTTAATTCCGCAAAGTATATTTGAATGGCCTTAATTTTTAAAAGGCTGAACTAAAAAAATCCTATAAATTACAAAGCATTTTTTTTGCTACCCTTACTAGATCTATCAGCCAAATGTGCCCCCGAATGACTGAAAATTCAAATATCATCCCAAGAATAAGTCAAATGATACCTCTATGTCAAAACCAATATACCCAAAAGCCAAACTCAGCGAGCCTTCAGAGTTGAAATGGGATCAATAAAAGCATAGAAGTGTTGCTCCTTTAGTTAGTCCAGCATTGGGGATAAGAATGGTAATAAAGACATCAGATTTTCATGTAGGGTAGCAGGAAGCCCAAATTATTTTCAAGTGAACCATTAATCCCACTGATTTATACACTTAAAAATGGTTAAAATGGGGGCGCCTGGGTGGCTCAGTCGTTAAGGGTCTGCCTTCGGCTCAGGTCATGATCTCAGGGTCCTGGGATCGAGCCCCACATTGGGCTCCCTGCTCAGCGGGAAGCCTGCTTCTCCCTCTCCCACTCCCCCCTGCTTATGTTCCCTCTCTCACTGTGTCTCTGTCAAATAAATAAATAAAATGTTTAAAAAAAAAATGGTTAAAATGACAACTTTTATGTGCATATGTTTTACAATTTAAAAAAATACACCAAAAATCACTGAACTGTACACTTGAAAGGAGTGAATTGTACTCTATGTGCACTAAGCCTCAGTAAAACTGCCCCAGGTGCCACGGCATTCCCAGCTGCTGGTCTCACGGAGGCTCACACGTTAGCGGTCAGCCGGCTGGTCTCACTAGAAAAGATGCTCTCACAAGCAGCAAGATGTGGGACGCTCACTGCCAGTAAGATTAATTAAGGCCTCCTCGGTGCCTAAGCTTTTCCAACGTAACTTGTGTAAGTCAGATCAAGAAGAATATAAATAAAAAGTCACATCCTTGGTTCCTTTAAGCATATTTAATATTTGAACTCTCATTTTCTATTTTCCCAGACCCCAGAAAACAGAAAGTTTTTAGATGACCAATATTTTGTTCCAGAAACATACAGCCTTATCAGCTAATTCATAAAAGAGCTATTTTACAAAGGTACATCTGGATAATTAGAACAATAAAGTCTTTTAGGCATTTCAAAATGTGATCAGTAAAAATACATGATTATTAATAAAGTTTTTTTTAAAGATAGTTCCAGATTTTTTTAAAAGTAATTTCTGTTAAAGAGTACATGATTGTATGGTGAACAAGGAAAATAAAATGCTCTAGTAGGAAGAGGCTTATTAAAAATAACCAATAGTGTGCACATTACAGTTATCACTTTTGCAGTACATCTTAGCCATTGGCACCTGGAAATGGCAGACAGGGCTTCCTTCTACGAGGTACATTTTTTTTTCTCTACCAATTTATTATCAAAACCATCAGTACCAGTGGGGAAGGCATAAGGAACGAGGCAAAAGAAACTCTTCTTGAAGAAAGAATAATTTTGCAGATCTCGGAAAAGGGGTGGGACAGTCAGAAGAAAACAGGATTTGCAAAACAAAAACTCTAATAATGGTAGAGGGGAAAAAACTAGTCAGCAGAAAGAGGACCAGGAGGTCCTGCCAAATTTTCTATTTTGAGGTCCTCTGTACACACTTCTCAGTGATACCCTCTGTGACATACAGGGAAGGAAATACTGACCAATGCTCTAGTAGCTCAAAATAACATCATATACCACCTTCAGAGAAGACAGTTTCCAGTTTGAAATATAGAAGCTCCATGTAATATACCAAATTTACCAACACCACACAAAAAAGTATGCAAGTAAAAGACAACTCACAGGAAGCATAATTATTTTCTTTAGCTTCTAAAAAGAAAAAAAAAAAGCTTTTCTCCTTTAATCACATTAGGTTCCCCCTCTCTCCTCCAAAAACAAATAAAAAACTGTTTTTAATGAGACACATCACTGGGGTGCCTAGCTGGCTCTGTCAGTAGAGCATGTGACTCCTGATCTTGGGGTTGTGGGTTTGAGCCCCACGTTGGGTGTAGAGGTTACTTAAAAATAAAATCTTAAAAAAAAAAAAAAAAGATAAAGAGGCACATCCTTTCTAACAGTGGTTAGAAGTTGTTTTGGGGAACGGGAAGCCAAAAAGCTAATGAAATATACCTTCTTACGGTAAAACATAATAAATAGTTACAGTTTAGGTTCTAAAAGCCAAGACAACTCAGGCAGTCCAAGTTAGCTGATTTTAAAGTATGCAAAATATATGGCTTCTAGGGCTGTAATCATGATTTTAAATTATAGCACTTTGGGGGCTTGCTGATTTGCCTTGATTAACTCTGTTCTCTGAAAAGGAAGGAGACACTCCAAGTGTAATTTGCCACTTAATAGCAAAGGACCCATTAGGCCCACAGAACAGAGCCCAGGGTCACAGCAGGTCACTTCAATGGCTAAAATCCAGCTCTCCTGCTCTGGGGAGGTTGTTTTGTTCACCACCACTGGATCCAGCTTTTAGTCAAGTAACTTTGAGAAAACAGCTTTGATGGTGACCACTGTCACTCAAAGACAGGATGAATATCTAATTCCATCATCCTGAAGGGCAGATACGGTATCAAAGTAAAGTGGATGTGATTATAAAGGCCCAAAGAAAAGGAGGGTGTGGGAGGCGAGGCTGAGAAGGAAGGAGGAGGGGAGCAGTTAGGCTGGTTAAGATAAAAAGAACACTCAAAATTGTGGAATCTTTTCAGACTTAAGACTTCGTTGTGGGGCTTCATTTAAAAATCTAGATACGAATTTATTTGGAAGTACTAGAGCTATGGTCAAAGTATTTTTCCAGTTAGCCCGGTTCTAAGGAGAGGTTAAACTGCAGGAAAAGAAAAGCAAATCGTTGTTAAGGACAAGATCTGGCTGAGCTAGAACAGAAACCTAATTCTTAAATGCATGCTAGAGAATCCCGTGACTACCCCTAGACTATCTGAACTTAAGGTGAAAGTTCTGTTTTTTATTTACCTTTCTCCTGATTAAATGCCAGCCGAGGACACCAGTGTCATGTGGCTGCGGAGCCGGGAGTGATGACCTGTTTCCAGGCGCACGTAACCATTCCGTTTCTACCTGCTTCTCTTAAGAGCTGCAGAAAGCTCAAGCCCCAAGCTTCACTTACTAGCTTCTGCTTCCAAAATTTTTACTCCCATTCTGGTTTAATTGATACTTGGTCTACAACTCCAAATAGCATTCTAATTTAGATATGAGATCCAACGATCCGAGTTGGGCTACTTAAAAACCTAGATCGGGTTTGAAAAGGCAGGAAACGGGAATGCGGACACGGATGAGCTGGTTAAGCTGTGGTGGTGTTTATGGAAGTAGGGAGGGAAGCCTCATCACTTGCCATGAGAGTGCAGGGGAAGAGCAAAATGACATCCCGATTCCCCACAAGGTTCAGAGGGCGCTACCGAAAGACAGGAGCGGTGGAGGAATGGTCTGCATATTAACAGAATTTGAAGATTTGACAAATGATTTAGCGCTAGTTGGCAAAAATACTCCGAAACATACATACCCGATGCACAAAGAAAAGCACAGAAAGCCAATATAACCGAAGGAGTTCTCGAGTCACGATTCTGCAACATTGACCCTCTGCAGGGTGCTGCTGGTACTATGATTCATTTGAGAGCAGGCAGTCAGCAACCCCTTGCCCACAGTTTCCAGTGTATGCTCTGGTCTGCAATGGTGAAGGTCAGTCATGCACCAGTGTGGAGAAAGCTCCGGCAGTGAAGTCAGAGGACGCGGTTCTGGAGCTGGTCTGAGCAGCCCTGCCTTCTCCACCACATCCTCACCACCCCGCTCGTGGCTCTCCTCTTAACTCAAAGAGCCCTTTGGCACCATCAGTGCAAACTTAATATTAGAGTCAAACCTCCAGGTACGAAAATGTTACTGGCCTTAAATTCAGCAGTACCCGTGGCTAACGGCAGCCATGGTTCAACTCAGTAGTGATTCAGTCAGCTAACCTTCCCAGACTCTTGCCCCCGCTCCCGCCCTTCCTCCACACCCCCACCCCTGCCACCATCTGAAGCGTCTCCATTTGTTTGTTTTTCCTTCCTGCTCCGTCCGCAGGGGTAATTTTACACAAGTGCCCAAGTCTAATGTATAATTATAAAAATGAAACAATACCAAGAATAACAAATTTATAGCCAAGAAAATAAAATTTGCTTTCCTCTCCCTCCCAAATCCCTACCCTCAATAGAAAAGAAGAGAAGAAAACACACCCATTTTCAAGTGCCTGCTATTTAGTACATTGAGGATTTTCTGTTAATTGGGGGTGGGTCCCAGCTACAGAGAAGAGGTGCTTGCCTCAGGTGGGAGGAAGCCTACCTAACTCTCTGCCCACCTGGGTAGCACACAGCTCAAGTCCTCTGCACGCAGGAGCCATGGGCATACTGAGCCTCAAAGACAGTGCCTACCGGGTGGCAGAGGGCATGGAATACAGTTTCGTGAGGGCTGGATGCTCCTCCCTTCCCCGGCTTACTTCCTCCTCTCTGCCTCCCCACCCAGCCTCCTAATACCTCATCCAGAACTCTTGGCTTCAGGAGCAACTGACCCTCAGGTGTACTAAATACGAAGGGCTAAAACTCTCACTACTCAATTAAAACAAAACATGGCAAAATAAAAATTAAAATGTGCTTTCAAATACGGAATGAAGTCAAATAAATACATCTGATTTTCTCTTTTTCTTAAGTCTAAGTAAAATTTCATATCCTACACCCAAAGCTCTATACATTTGGTTTTTGTTCTGAATCAAAATGAATTTCCGATAGGAGGAGAGCAGAGTGAGAGAGTCAGGGCTCCCTCCCTGACAGACCCGTGCAGCTGCCGGACGGTGAGGAACGAGTCCCGCTCTGGGCGCCCGGGCACGCGGCCACCCCTGGGGGCTTCACAGGCAGACCCTCTGTCACACACTCTCTCTGCGTCCGCGGTGGAGCCAGGATGGGTGATGCGAGGCCGATGCTCAAAGTCCAACAACCTTCAGTCACCTCCAGGACACGCGGCTCTAACTTTTATCTGGGAAGAATAAAGATGTGTGGAGATCAAATTAAGAAGAACAAATGAACATCTGACATCTGTGGGTCTCGGTATGTCTCTCTGGATCAGAAAGGCCTCACTGGAAAACAGGTAAGCAAATGAGGACAAACTGCTGCACTGAACACAGATCCATTTGCAGTCACGGGGAGACGGCGCTCCCGCCGTTAGGACAGACATCAAGGCACAGCAAGGCCCACGGGGCACGAGCCTCCCTCACATCAGCACGGCAAATCTCTCAGGAATCTAGGATTTACCAGGCTTACCCCTGCCCTGTGTTCTGCTCTTGCAAAGGTAAAGAAGGAGGGGGTGGGGGCGGGATGGCACAGAAAAAAGACAGCCACAGCTCCTCGTAGAAGGAGAAGCGCAGAGTCAGCAGATAACAGCCTCTGCTTTATCTACGATGTTTGGAAACAAGTGGCTTTTTAAAGACAGGAAAGAAATGGAATCTCAGGAGGTTTCCACTTTAAAGAAGAATAAATCATTTCATTCGATGTACTGTTCAGGCAGAATGATTCGAGAGTCGGGAATCCACAATTTTCACATACCTGAGTGCTTGTCTGTGAGGGCTGATCCAGCCAGCCTTTGGCAAAGCATGCTGTAACTTTCCTCCACCTTCTGTAAAATAAAACCCATTGGTTTGCCATTTGAACATCGTAATTTTTCTTTATGCAAACAGGAAGGCAAGCTTTTTCATATTACCAGTACGTGCTTCTAGATTTCAACATTAACGTCGTTAAGAATTTTGTTAGTGGGGGGGGGGGGGAGTGAACTGCATTCCTTTTACCTGTTTCTCCCTTGAGTGAATAACTTAAAACTCTGTCACATAAAGGTGATTCTCCTACCCCTAGAGTCACCCTGAAAATGGTCCCACAGGTGACATGAGCTGTGTTAGGGACAACCTGCCCACAATGGCCTTCTAGATACCTCATCAGCCCCTGGATGACACCACGTACAATCACATGAAGAAGGGAAAACCTATCACGTGAAGTTAAAAGAAAAACTAAGGGACATCAGTCTTTAGCTAAATGGCTAAGAACACTTTTAATGTTCCGAAGCCTCTAACTAAATGAAGTCATGAAAAAACGTTTGGGCTCTAGCAGTTGTGTCTACCGATGCCAAACTTTAGGATAAAGTCCTTTTCTCAGAATCACCACTGAAGTCAGTTTTGACATAGCGGCCTCAACAGTGACTTCAACTCCAATTCACAAAATTCCATTCAGGTCTAGCTCTCCAGATCACGGGGGCCAATGGAGCCAACTTTTGTGTGTCAGAGCGTCTGGGAAACTACCCACATCACCTAACAATTCACGGATAATTAGTAAGCGAAAGCATTTCCTAGCCGAGATTCATACCAACACAAGCCCTCCTATGTCACTGGCTTGCTGTTCATTTTCTCAGGGAGGCCAGCCAATCATCCCAAATTTATCTGGGTTCTTACGCTGAGAAACCCACACAAACATGCCATCTACATAGTACTACGATGTTTTCTGTTCTTGTGATCTGCAACCAGAGGCACCGTGCTGATCTCGGCTTCTTACCCAAGTCTATTCACGGGTAATGGTCAAGGAAAACAGCAAATCTAGAACCTGAACAAGCTCACTGGCTTCAGCATTGCGGTCGTTCTCTACCTCCTCTCTGTGAAATACGTTTCTTTACCCAAGCCGTGAGGACGCTGAGGTCTGAGGTACCTTTAAGTGTTCAAGGTCAGCCTCGATCTTACGAATGTACTCCATGATCTGGCTCTGTGAGTCTGCACAAGAAGGGGGACTCTGGATCTCAAAACAGGAATCATCCATAGCTCCCCAGCGCTGCTGGACCAGGAATTCTGGGGTGAACGGTGAAGCTGCCCCATCAGAATGGGCACGCTGGGGCGAGTGATGCTGCAGGGGGGCAGAGTCCATGGAGGGGATGCCTGTCGCGGGTGGCGGGGGAAGTGAGGAGGCAACCTCCTCATCCGTGGAGCTCTCCTGCACCGCTTCATAGCCATCCAGAATCAAATAGTTTCCTGTTGACAGACACAGAGCAGCTTGATGAGCTTCGTGCTGCCATCCTCACATCAAAAAAGAGAGATGAAGTGATATGCTGACAACCTTAAAAGCCATTAGAGACAGAGAAAAACCATTAATTCCCCACTTCCCGAGTTCAGTTTTAAGTACATCAGAATCTTCTCACTTCAGGTTGAAGCTAAACTTAGCAAACTTTCATGTGATTTCTGAATAATTTCAGATTAGTTAGCATCTTAAAAGCTGGAAACTACAAAGTCCCCGTATGATCTTGCCTCTGCTTCCCGGCCGCAGAGCTCTCGCGCCTCATCGCCCACCCTGTGCGCCCCGGCTCTCTGCTGCACCCCCGTGCCCTCAGTGCCCACGCTGCTCTGCTCCCATGCTACCCGACTGCCCTGTCTGCCCCTGGGTCTGCCTTACGTTTCCTCCTAATTCTTCTGACCATCTGACATCTGTTGGTTTACTTATTTACCATGACTCTGTCCTCACTAGTACTTAAGCTTCACAAGGATAGTGGACTTTCTGGGTTTTAGTCAATGCCGTCTATCCCAGCACCCAGGATGGGGTCTGGCACAGAGCAGATTCAGTAATTATTTATCTCATGAAAGAGTAAGTGCTACACACTTATACACACACACACGCACACGCACACGCACGCAGAGGATGATGCGTGGATACCCAAACAACATTCGTCTCAGCACACAGCACAGATAACGATCAAAATCAAAGTTTAAATGTGAAAGAAACTTGCCTGAGATGCGCAAATTAACATCCTCTTCCTTCTTAACTGCTCCATCACCTTCTGATGGATTATCATCACTGTGTGCTTCACGGGCATCAAAAAAGTGCTCTCCACTCTCATCGAGACTCCCTTCTGGCTCTGCAGGAGGCATCTCTGGGGTCATAAGCATGTGGTCCATGACGAAGATGGTACTTGCCTGGCTATCTTGGAAGGCCAGTACCACTGAATCCCGTGAAGCCGGAGATTCAGTTGAAGTCCGTGGACTGTGACAAGTTGCAATGTCACCAGTTCCAGTTCTAAAGGGCATCTGTCCTTCGACAGGAGGATAGGCCTTACTGTTCTCTGAGTTCTGGGCCCCACCGTCTGTCTGCACCCCTGAAGACGCTGTCCTGTAGCTTGGGAAATGTGGCCAGTCTTCCTGAGCGCTCTTCTCAGTCAAACCCAGCTGTTGTACGAGCAGCTGCTTCAGCAAGCCCACTGGAAGGTTCAGGGAGGGAGGGAAAAATCCATTCACACCAATAACCGCAGACTGCCGGAATTAAATTAGTGTGTGGACTTATCTATTACTTCCAAGAGTAAGTACCTTTTTAGTAACACAGAGTCAAAATATTAATTTCGTGTGATCATTTTTTTTTGGTTTTGTATTGGAAAATGAAATAAGGCACCATCTAGAGAAGATGTAATATTAAAGGAGACTTGGAAAGATGTACGCCTTCTGAGTGGCGAGGCACTCCTAAATGTCTGACACCACGCCTTCCTCTCTTTTCTCTTCCACATAACCTGAGTAATACCCCAAGGTCCTTCTTAAAAGGATGTTAAAAAGCTGTGTTATGCTAGAAAAGAAGCCCTCAAAGTTTTGCTTTGTCCAGAAGCAGACACTGTATACACAGGCGTTATTTTTTCTAATTTTATTAGACACACTCTGAACATTTATTTTATCATTTATAATAACCCAAGGAATCTCCTTAAATGGTGAAGACAATAAAGCTGGCCTATAATGAGATTTACTTTCAATGATTTGGTAGCATGTCTACTTTCAAAGGATAAGAAAATGTGTATGGGTTTTAAAAACAACCTTACTGATGGCACAGCTTCCTTGGGCTGTTGAAAAGAGAAGCAGTTCAATTTTCAACGGGCAGGTGTATGCTGTGCGGCCACTCATACAATGACAGACTCAGTACGACAGTGTCCGTCAAAGCATCAGAAATCATTCTGACTATTCATTCAGGAGAATCGACAATAAATTAGATCTTAAGAGAATGTGACCAACTCCCGACGTTGAACTCTGGCTGAATTTCTATCTTCTGTTTCTTTGGACAGTCTCCACTAGTCTTTGGCGCTCCGTCCTTCTGCTCTACCCACCTCTGCGTAGGTACAGGAGAATGCTGTGCATTCCTACGGCTCTGACACTCAAACCCATCCCTTCCCCTACCCTCTCACCAAAGCCCCAGTCTTAAAAACTCCAACCTCCTGCCAGTTACTTCCTTTATAAATAGCTTTGCCAGTTTTGAAATTGAGCCCATAATCTCTGGCAAATAAAAAAAGGGGGAAAAAAGAAAGTGTGGCAGTGGGCTGTGGTGGTCCTTTCCGACTTTGATTTCTGACAAGAATGCTGAAATCATCTAAATATTCCCTTTTCTTTGCCCTTGTACCAAGTCGATTGTTTTGAGTATTTGTTGCGTCCTCACTTGATTTTTATTCCTCTGATGCCGTTCTAGTCCAGACCCCTTCATCAGCCTCAAGCCCCTCCCTTCACACTAGCCACAGCCTCCTGGCCTCCCCGCATCCCAACCCTTCCACCCTCTCAGCCTGAGCCGTCTGTTCTCACTAGTCATACCCGAGCTTCCAAACTTCAAATGGTTCTTGGCAGCCAGAGCCACCCTTCTCGGCCTTTCCCCTCCTCCAGCACACCTGCGAGATGGGACAGCCTCCCATTTGTAAGGGATTCTCAGCCAGGCTGGAGAGGGAGGGGGGAGCTAACAGAGTGGCAAGGGCCACCCACCTTGTGGGTGTGCGCTCTGTGT